GTCTTTTGGGCCATGATTGCAAATACCGGAAAGAGGAAGAAGGGCGAGATGAGTGCATACTCGCTCTTCAACGAGGATGTCCAATCGTAAGTAGTCATGTCGTTGCTTGGTTTGCAACCCAGAGCTCTAGAGCAACTCCCTTGAACTCGGGTCTACTGTTGGTTCCGGACCAAGACTAATGCCTGGTCTCTAGAATCGCGGGCAGCACGGATATGGAAGCTCTGGAAAGAGAACTGCGCACGAGGTCCATGTGAAGCCGTTGTTCAACAACGTTGGCATCATACGTCGTCGCAACTCAGTCGGATTTAGCATCGGACTACGACCCCAGCCCGCCTGACAACTCATCCCGAGCCAGCTGCACGCCCGGTAACGCGGGGAATGATCTTCCCTTCCGTTGACAACTCCCAAGATCCACCCACCTCCATTCGAATGCGAATCCGAGCATTGCGTCGCCCTACCTGGACCGCACAAAGCTCTGAGTCGCGAAGCACAAACGATAAGTGGATTAGTTTACAGGAATCAATCCGCGCTGTGCCATTGGCCACAGATTTTAGTGTCCGAACCCGTACGGAATAGCAGCGAGCACCAAACGGCTTCCCCGCCACTCCGCAGGGACAACCCCACCTCCTCCTTCGGCAATCAACTGCCGCAAGCTTACTTGTGCGGATTTGGGAGGCCAAGTCTCCAGACGAGTTTAATGTCAGCTACCAAGGCCAGGCCAAACCATGGCTATAGCCCCTGGTTTGCGGTCGTACTTCAAGACTCCGCACCAAACTATAGAAGGAAACTAGCACCGCCTACTACATTCCACGCTAGCAATTCGCTACTCCTTTGAACTACACCTCTCTCCAATCTACCGCATTCAAAAGCTTCTTGTCCACTCTGCCAACACCATGACGGGTCCCGAGCGCAAGATCCAGCTTGCCAAAATTGCACACGTCTACTACAAGCACAAGGATTTGGAAAAGGCCCACGAGTTTGCGATCGACTTTGGATTCGAAGAAGTCGCGCGCACCAACGACAAGATCTATTACAGAGGCTATGGCCGCGAGCCGTTTGTGTACTGTTTGGTCAAGGCGGACGAGGACGAATTTGGCGGCACCGCCTTTGCCGTCGAACACGAAGAGGACCTCGAATACGCGTCCAAGATTCTGCCCAACGCCACCGAGGTCTACGAGCTGAAGGATGCGCCTGGTGGTGGAAAGTGTGTGACATTCAGAGAGCCCGTCGATGGTTTCCTCTGGCACTTGGTGTATGGACAAAAGCTGCGGGACGACGAGAGGACTCTGCCGACGCTCAAGTTCAACTTTCCCACCAAGAAGGAGAGAGCGCCAAACACCTTTCAGAGATTTGAGCAGAGGCCTGCGCCGGTGCACAAGCTGGGCCACTTTGGATTTTGCCATACCGACTGGCAGAAGGCTTTTGACTTTTACCACTCCCACTTCAACCTCAAGCCAAGCGAGGTAAGTAAAGGCACTCCTGCCACGCATCCCAAAGTCCAAATCACCCTGAACCCACTCTGACCTGCCAAGATTCAATCCGACCCTAAAACCGACAAGCCCTGCATGGTGTTCAGCCGCCTCGACCTCGGCGACGAGCTCGTTGACCACCACTGCTTCTTCTTTTTCGAGGGACCCAAGGCCCACGTCCACCACTCCTCTTTCGAAACGCACGACTTTGACACCCAGGTGCTTGGGCACGACTGGCTGAGACACAAGGGATACGAGAATTTGTGGGGTGTCGGCCGGCACATCATGGGCAGCCAGATCTTCGACTACTGGTACGATCCTGACCGGTTCGTTCTGGAACACTACGTCGATGGCGACTTGTTGAACGGCAAGGAGGACACCAAGCTATCAAAAGCTACCTTGGATACGCTCTACGTGTGGGGTGAGTATCAATCGGGTCTTCTCGTGAAGTGATATGCTGATCAATCTTCTTTGAACAGGACCAGACGTCCCAGACACATTTTTGGTGTAGGGTTGCCGACTTCCGAGAGCCGATTGGAATGGTTGCGATTCTCCACTGCTGCTATTCAGCCCCGATCTTTAGCGGGTACCGCGGTTTCTTCGCGGGTTTGGAATACTTGATTTCCTCCACAGAATGTAAACTACCCCTGGAAACCCTACATGCAGAGCAACATCCGTTTGTTACGAAAGCCAGAAAATTCACGTCGTCTGAGAGTCAAGCCTGATGTCCTTCGCAATTACATCATGTCCAAACCTTACTATCCATGTTCTAGCAAGGCTTGACTGCACGTGGTGATGCCTACCGTAGCCTGCGTCAACAGGCAAGCAACAACACGACAAAAACAAAACAAAAAGTAAAACGCAAAACAAAATGGCAGAACGTTAGCAGAGGCCGCGAGTTGAACTCTCGACCTCCGCTAACGCCCCCCAGCCCAAGCACTCATTATTAGACCTATATTGTAACAATGCAAGCCGAGTGCCCCTAGAGGTCGGTCACGCTGGCGTTTCCCAGCCTCGGATAACCTTCACGCAAGCTCTCTCTGGGCCAGTTGCTGACTATACGCTCGCGGTTTGGATTTATATAGGTGCGTAAAAGGTGGATCGTGCGTTGGTGGGTAGCTCCCTTCGCACGCCGCCCGTTGCTGCGTCAAACGTCATACCACCGTGGAACATCTCTCGCGCCTTTGATTCTATTACCGTCCCCTCGGTGATGGCACCGCGGTGACAAGTAAGTCGTACTCGTTGGATGCTGCTCGAATCCAGGCAACGCCTCTCGCCCAACCACCGTGAGCGGAACTCTTGGAGTCAGATCGCCGCCGTGTCATTTGAGCACCTCTCATTGACGCATGACAATCACTGCGGCGCCGTCCACTACAACCCATTGAACAACAACCCGCGTACCTCATCGCCCATGTCTCACCTCCTGCACCTCGCCGCCAGACAACATCCACACGTCCACGCCCGCATGCCGTGAGTAGCTTGTCAATTAACATAGCGGCGGTTGACGTCGCGCCCGGCCCCTCTGGCTTTTTGTACCTCCCATTACGCCGCTCTTTCCACATTGCACACTTTCTTTTCTCCTCCTATTTACACCTAGCTTGGTTTGTCAAAATGCCGTGGCTGCGCGGGCGCCGCCGCTGTCCATGCGCTTGTCTTTCCACATGAACTTTCCACGTCGACGTTGTGTCCGCCTGTCAGCCTGCCAATCAACCGCAAAGCAAGTGTAAGTTTGGCCTCGCTTTCGAAGCGCGCATGCTACATTTGGGTATGCTTCGACCTGACTTGCCGCTCATCCGCTCACGCGCACTACCCGCGGCTCAACCAACGACAGCATCTGGGATCGCTCACAGCATCGATCGGAATCCATCTAGCAACGAGAACGCACCCAAAAGAAGCCCACTCAACCACCTCAGACAGCCAGCGCCACAGGCGTCCCGCAGCCTCGTCATCCTCGCACAACCACCTTTGCAGGCAATCGGCAGCCCGGCAACGTCACTCGCGTGCTTGCGCTGTGCCTAATGGCGCCCTGCTCCTATCCGTCCACCACCGCATCTCCACCACAAGCGTGCTGTAAGCACACCGTGAATTTCCTCTGCTTTTGTTCTTCCTGTTTTGCTTGCTTGGCGTACCACTTCGCCCGCCTCGCCAGCTTTGGACATGCCCTCTGCTCTGGCTCTCGCTTCTCGCGCAGTACAAGCCGCAGCTGCCAGCCTTGCTCTGCCCTGCTCTGTCCCAACACGCCTCTTCTGGCGGGCGTTGTTGGCTCTGCTGACGCAGCTTGCAGCATGCAGTGCGTAGTCACGCAGTAGCGCCGGCAAGCGGCGGCGCGTGCCGATGACACGGTGGAGGGTCGAACGTACTTGGCAGCTGGTGGGCTGGAAGAAAATAGATAGAGACAGATCAAGGAGGTTGGGGTTTTCGGGTTGCGTGGTGGGATTCAGTCAGGGAGTCTGAGGGACGCGGGGGAACTGGTGGAGCTGACTGGTAAGTAGGCATCGAGGGGGAAGATGTTGGGTTGTGAGTGATGTGCTTTGGGCCAATGTCGAATGGCAGACTCAATCGACAGAAAAGAAAAATGGAGAGACAGGCAAGACACAGCGCATGTTTGGCAGAGTTCCGCTCCACGCCTCTCCGTCGTCGAGGCTCCACAAGGCCTACATGTCCTAAGGTTGCAACTCGAAGCCCACCCCCTCTTCTTCTCTTTCCTCATCATCATCTCCTCCCCTCATGAAAACACGCACCTAATCACCTAATCTGAGAAGTGAAATCCACAACACGCCCCTCATTTGGATCCCATTCTCATCTCAATCGCTCATCTCTCATCTCCCCGCCCCGTCCCACCGCATGCACGCACGCAGCAGCTGACATGCGCGCGCCACTGCCGCAACGACCGCCACCATAGTATGCATGGCGCACGCACGCGAGCGACAAGACAGCCTTGTCTCGTGGGCATACGTATGTATGGACGTGCTAGCGGCGAGATTGCCTGCTTTGACTGGTTTTGCGTTGTTGAGGTGGCTATCCATGGGCGTATGATGGTGCGGAGGCAACTCTGCTCGATTTCTACTAAAGTCTTTGTCGCGGTGCGCCTTTGCGCCTTATCTCGCCCTCTACGGGCCAGTATAGTACCGCACAGCACAGCACAGCACAGTCCATCCGCAGCCTACCAACCCAACTGCACCCACCACTGCGCTGCGCTGCCCATCTCAGTACCTAAATCCAGCACCTGCTATTTGCGCGCCCGCTCAAAACGGTGGTGTCTCAACGTCAGAAGGCTGAGTTGGGCGGCGGCGGCGGCGCAGGCTCATCAGCGCAACGGACACATGCACACCTCCCTACCGTACCTCCCAACCTCCCTACCGTACCTCCCAACCTCCCTACCGTATCTCTCAACCTCCCTACCCCAATTACGGCTCAGGGACTTAGGGCCACGCACGCACGCCTTTTCCTCCCTCTCATCCACGGCTCAACTTCTATCGCTACCACTCACCAACCAACAGAGCAGGCAAGCAAAAAAGCAAAAGCGATCCGTTTGTTGGCCAGGACGTGAAATTGAACCCGGGACTTGCCGTGGATGCGACTGTTGCCGCGGCATGCGTTGCCACTACACCACCAACACGTTTGCATGGGTCCGCTGTATGTGTGTGGTAAGGATTGCACATGTTTATAAAAAGAGGGAGGGAGTGAGAAAGAAAGGTAGAAAGGAATGAGGGGGAGGCTTTGCGCTGCTGCTGCTGTGCAGATTAGCCTGCGGCCATGCGTGCGACGGTGGCGCCGGCACGACCCGGTGGCGTGCTGGATTGGGGGTGAGGTCGGATGGGCTCGCCGAGTACCGGTTGTGTGTCTGAAGAATGGTGGGGTGGGATGGGTACGCGATGTGGAAAGGCGATGTAGTGATGAAATGCAGTATTGATAACTTTTCTACAAGCTGTACAGTACAGAGATATACACACGACAGAAAGTCGAAACAAAGGACATACGCCATAACCAACCAACAAAAAAGCAAGCGAAAACCATAGTCTACACAAAGCATACAGCATACAGCAAACGCCAAACCCAACCATCAATCAAGCATGCCAATCCATGCTCCGCCGCCGAATCGGCTCCAGCGTCGTGTTGGCGACCTTGCTGTGGTCGCCCGTTATCAGAGCACCGGACGGATGCCGCTCAAACTGCCGACAGCTCGCCGTGTCCAGCAGCCGCGGCGAGCCCGCACAGTTGCCGCTGGGCGTGATGTCCTGCCTGCGGCACGCCGCCAGGTGGTCCGACGGGATCTCGATGCCGCTGCGCTGCAGCTGCTCTGGAGCCTCGATCATGACGGCGGCCATGCCCGCCGACAGGTGGTACTCCAAATGGCAATGTACTGGATGGCAAAAGAATCGCGTTAGAAGCTGTTTGAGAGGGTGTAGTATATATAGAATGGTTGGGGTGGGGTCAGGGAATCAGGGGGTGGAGTTTGGGGACGGGACTCACGTAACCAGGCACCTGGGTTGTCGGCGCGGAAGCGGATAACGACGCTGCCCGAGGGCGCGACATTGACTACGTCGCGGACCATGGGGGTCTCAGACCACACGGCCGTCGACTCGTCAAAGGTGGTATCGGAGCGCGAGACTACCTGGAACGTGTGGCCGTGAAGGTGCATCGGGTGCCCGACGCCGCCGAGGTCTAAGGAGGTGTTGGACGCGCTGTTGATGACGATTTCGACAATGCTGTCCGGCTGCAAAACGTGTGCGTTCACTTGGCCGTAGATGAAGGGATTCGAGGCGGCCGGGCCAGTTGTGAGGGCTGTGTAGAGAGAGGGCGTCTCGGGAGCGATGTACGAGTCGTTGCCCAGCGTGATACTGTAATACTTTAGCAAGTGAATTTCGATGGGAGCGTTTGGCATACCGGCTTCCAACGTCCTTGTAGTACAGCTGCCGAGAGTCGAGGACAATCCTCTGATCCACGGGTTCAAGAATCTTTTCTCCCGTCGTCGGCTGCAGCGTAAAGTCGTCACCAGCAAGAGACTCATCCACGGAGAAATTGTTAGGAACAAAGCGTCTTCCGCCGTAGTTCAAGACTCCCAAGGTCTTGGTACCAGTGATTGATTGCTGTACGGCAAAAGCATAGTTGCCAGAGGGCTTGTCCAGACCGGTCAGGACAATGTCGTATCTCTGGCCGGGAGTAACCTTGAGGCCTTTCCAAGTTGTTGGTTTTACTGTTGCTGTTAGTGAGTTTCTTCGAGTCTTCCATGAATAAACTTGCCTGGAACACCGTCGATTGCAACTACTTGAAAGTCGTGCTGGTCTGCAAAAATCAGCCTTGAAAAGCATTTCAAAGACAACGGTACATACCAAATTCAATGTTTTGAAATGCGAGCGCTCCCATGTTGACTATGCGAATATAGACCTTTTCCCCTGGTTTCATGTCGATGATGGTGGGCCTCGTAGTGTCGTTCACCAAGTTAGAATCCGGTGATGGCATGATTCCCTGCCTGTTCTCGGGGCCCAGATACTCTCGCAAAAGATATGGTATTTCCTCGTTGTACCTGAAACAGTCAGCGGCGGCATTTATTCAGACTACCGTCATCCTCACCAGTCCGAAACAGGCAAGATGATTTCCCTAGTAGCTCCCGACTGAGCTTTGGACGACTCAGGGCTGTTGTCGTGGACAATCATCGGCAAACGCAGTCCATCCGGGTATTGGCCTTTTTCGTGGCTATGGCACCAATGCGTGCCCGCCGGGTACGCAACAAACTCGTATCGAAAAGTCGATCCGGGGGGAATGCCACACTGGGTAATTTCTCCAGCACCATCCATCTCGTTGGATCCGCGTTGCCACATGCCGTGCCAGTGGATGCCAGTGGTCTCATTGCCGAGAGAGTTGCGAACATTTGCGATGATGGTGTCGTTGACGTCGACCTCGAGAGGCGGAGGCGGCCATTGTCCATTGATGCCAATCACAGCACGCTCGTGGCCGTCTGGACTGGCATTAACCCAAGTGATATCCCAGTCGAGCGTCACAACCTTGGACAGCCCGAGGCTTGCAAACGAAAGGAGAAGTAAAGAGAACATTTGAGAAGATTCTGAAAAAAGAACTTGAAACTGAAGCGAGTGATGGCAAGAAAGGCACGATATCTTGGACCAACTTGGCTTTTAATAAAGCAACTACAGAGATTTCGATAAGGGCCCCCGGCAGCACGGCACGACGTCCGTACATGTCTGGAGTGGATCTGCTAATCAGAGCAGGCGGTGGGCGCTCAGCCATGGGTGTGTCATGAGGAGTCGAGTCGTCAGATGCGAGACTCATGATCTAGAAGCATCAGTCGAGGTAGCTGGAATATTTTCCGACCATCAAGCCGCGCCTGGACGAGGCAAGAGGCGGTACGTTGGGATAAGCAGTTTGAGGCTGTTCGACAGCCGCATGTGGCGGCTGTGATGGACCACACGGGCTAAAAAAACCAGACAAGGCTCTGACAGCATGACGGCTACAGTATGGAGATCAGCTGACGGGAGAGAGGGCTGCCATGAGAGGACGAAAATAGATTGCTTTTATTGGGGCGCAGGTGGAGAGGCTCATGAAGCAAGTCGGCAAGGATCCATCGACCGTGGTCTTGATGTCATCCTGGCCTGTGGATGGCGCTGCCGGTGTCGTGGAAAAGAAAAGGCATGGCAATCCGCCGCAGACAGGGAGGCCGCATGCAGCCGCATCAGGTGGCAGAAGAGAGCCGCTGGGCAGGCCGCCCACGAGCGCCATGGAAATGAAGCTTTTGCTGCAGGGGTGAAGACGGCAGAGCGCAAGGTGCGCATTCAGCTGCAGCAGAGAGTAGATGTAGGGGAAGAGTTGAGGTTGCCGTGTCGATGCAAGCTGAGCTGCTCTCGCTTCGCTGACCAATGGCCTGTGGCACGCCTTGGACATGCCCTCGACGCGCTCCACTCTCCACCCTCAACTCTCCGCAACCACCGGCGCTTAGTGCTCCAAATTACCACCTCTCTGCGCGATTATCAATCTGAGCTGGCATAATTGTCAAATTGGCAAGAGACTTCGGCAGACAAGCCAAATCAGGACCACAAGATTGACCCTACCCACATCGGACGGCTACTGGCATCTCATCCGAACCACGCAGCTGGAACCTTTTCATCTCCAACTCATCTCAGCTTTTGTCCAGTCTCTTGAAACTGTGTCGTGAGTGTGGACTGCAGGCGGCGTTTCCAGCTCTCGGGGAAAATCTCGACATCTCAACCCGAGCCGCTCTTCATGCCGGTCCGGGCAACAAACCAACCTCACCAAACTGAGAAAGGAGCGACAGACTGCCACGGCTTGGATCATGACGTTCAAGACTACGCAAGTACCACCCCAGGAAAAAGTGAAAGGCATGGAAGACCAGTCGCATCGGCAACATCAATCAACTCCCGACAAAGTGTTAGACGCGCATACGTCGCACAGCATGTCCAATCCATGCTCCCACGGGCCATACGCTGTATCAGGGGAGCACGCGAGCGACCTCACCCACTCACTCGCTTGGCTGCGTGGCTCGGAGCATTAGTTGTTGACGACTTGCATATCTACTAGGCTGTGCGTACAACGCACCCACAAACGGCGCGGCAAAAAGCATTCTGCAGGAGAAGAAGATTGAGCGGATGCATTCACGCTTTCAGTCACCCATCTGAGCACTCTCCGGGGACAAGGACGAGGAGAGAATGCGGGTCTGTTGATCCGCAATTCATGTGCCTTGCCAGGACTCTGCATTGAAGGTATGTGCCCATAGCGGAGAAAAGCAGCACTCACGCACAAACGCATGCCCCGTTGAAATGATGCGCAATTCTCCGACCGTATTCGCGACGCCTGCGATGCGAATGATGGCCTATCTCGGAGAGAAAAGTCGGAGATACAGAGGCAAGCAATGGTTTGGCCAAAAGGCGTGACTTCTTCGCTGAGCCCTCTCTCTCACCGCGCGCAAAGCAAACGAGCGAGTAAGTGAGCGCGCCCGCGCTCTCAATACTCAAACCCGTACACCACATCCCCCCTCTCCTCCCGCGTGATCTTGCACAGCAAGTCCTTTTCCCGGCCTCCATCCGCAACGTACGCCTCGATCCAGCATGCCAGCGCGCAGACCCGATCGTCGACTGCCTTGCGCCACCCATGTAGCGGCTGGTTGAAAACTGGTTTTGTTGATGTCGACGCTGCGCTTCTCCTGGCACTTGGCGTGTTGGCGTTATGAATTCGGTTTGCAGTGCAGGATGAAGAGGAGGAAGAGCACGACGCGAGACTCAGGCTGACGAGCGAGGCCGTGTCGTCGTCCTCGCCACCATGTTGGTGTCTCTCGACGCCATAGTCGCGGCACTTGCGCTCCCAAACGTCGTCGACGTCGTCGTTGATGCCATCGTAGCCCGCGTCGCCCCGGCCCCACGACCCAACGCCCAGTCCAGCTGCTGCGGTCAAATCGAGACGGAGATTCTTGCTGTTCCGCTTGGCGACGGCGTCGGCGCGTCGATTGTCATTCAGCTTGGAAGGCGCGTCGCTGAGGAGTCTTTTCAATTCGACAGCGCCGTCGCCCTCGTGCTCGTCGTCACCGCTATCCCACTCCTCTTCCAATTCTTCCTCGTCTCGTTTTCCCTCCCACCACTCCTTCTCCTCTCC